ACCCCAGAGAATTGCCTGTCACCTAGTGTATCGCGTGTAACGGTCAGATGATGATGATTCAGTTACTTTATTCCCTTTCTCGAGCTTCGCCTCTTGTCCCTTTGTATTTTTTTTTCATCCCTCCCACCTTGCAGCCCTCTTTCTTTTATTCCACCTTTTCTCCTGCTCTACCTTATCCATCCCTCTTCAAAGCTAAAATACTGTGCGCTTGAAATATTCACTCAAGTCTCGCGAATTTCACCCCGGGAATAGGCAGCGAACCTTCATCCCCTTCTTTCGGACTACTCGAGTGGCACAACCACCCGGACTTGACTCACAATCGATCTCGCCGAGGTACGGAAGGCACCATGGAGAGCCAGGTACGAGGGAAAGTTCGAGCTCACCCTTTTAACCCCCGGACAGGCGTACCACGGTCAATTATCCGGATAATTTAATACGCGATCTTCGATTTCCAGTGGTAGAAAGAGGTTCGTGGACTGGCGCGATTCATCACCGGATGCTAGTCCCTGATAACGGAACCCTCGTTGCACCGAGCCACGCCATACCGGGGGGAAATATATTAGACTGACAGGTGGCAGGCAAAGGTGGGTGTTTCGTGGCTGTGTTCCCTAGCCGCAGATGGCGTTAAGTCGCTGCCTCGGTTGGCCAGCTTTTGCTGCAGTGGATATGCATTCTGCAACGGAGAAAGTTTCTTGAAATTGCTGGGGCTTTTTGGAACTGATCTTTGCATGTAGATCTAATATTAGAATTAATGCTGATCACTGAGAATGAGATATTGATGGGATTTTTAGGAATTAATCTCTGTATCATGTAGATCTTTTAATGTTAGATTTGATGACGACAATTCATGAGTTAACAAATCTATGAGACTTACAAAAATCAATTTCTACATCGTGTGGTTCGTCTAGCGTTAGAATCAACTCTAATAACCGATAATCGGTTAATAATACCCGAACTTAAATAAAAGTCAGCTAACATATTAATAAACGGACTCTCATACTTCCTACAAAAAGCTCTAAAAAGCTCTGTTCAACCGTCAGGCAGTTTCAGTGTTAAAAAGGCTACCAGAAGTTTGCCGCTCGATGGCTCCGTTCAAATCTACTTAAATCGATATTGAAAGAAACTTCGAGCACTCCAAGCGACCCCGTTAAACGAATAATTTTTCAATTAACCCGACCATAAGCGAGTTACCAGAGGCAGCAAAGAGACACCGTCTATTAGAGTGTGTCGTGTTCCCGCGATCGTGTCCGGCGCAAAATCGATTCGCCGTGATCCGATGGACAAAACCGTATCTAATGAAACCCGGCAGTGAGTAAATTACGTTCGATGTGTCTGTAATTGGAGCGCGGGAAAACCGCGCGGAAAAATTCAAAGCGACCGACGAACAAGTGGGTATTGTTCCGCGGAAAAAACCCACTTGAAACGTTGCCCGGACTGCTGTTTGAATTTCCGTGGTCGGGTGCGCTGCTTCTCGCGGACGGGAAGGAAGGGGAACAATGCAAGGAAATTACGTTGCGGCTCGGCAAACCAAAAATCGCGACGTTAACGTGTGTCTCCAGGGATGCGCGGGAAAGAAAAGGGGACGACGGATAAAGGATGCAAATTCTAAAGGCAGCTGCCTGGAAACAGCCGTTTCTGAAAATGGTACCATGATTCACGTCATCGACAGTGTCCCTGCTCCGATGTTTTGCGCGAACTTCGACATCCGTGCACAACAACGGTTAACTCTTTGCACTCGAGAGGCGACTCTCATTCGTCACTTAATTTACTACAGTAAAATTATGAAGTTTGACGTTTAACCTAACGTTTTTTGTTTGTGAATTTTTGTTTATGATTATAATAAAATCTATGCAGTACAAAATAAATAGCTACATGTGAATACGAATTTTATTTTGATGAAATAATTTCACCAAACAAATATATTTTGTAACTTCCAAGTTACAATGACGTTAAACTTTCTGACGATTACTTAATTTTATTCGTCATTCTGAGTGCAAAATGAAATAAATCAACAAGATGCCAATATACTGACATGTGACTTCAAAGTTACATGGGCTTACAGAGGGTTAACACATTGTACGCTGGCTAAATTTCAGCTAAGAAATACGAGCGTCGGTGATTATATTGATACATTTTTAAATATCTATCAAAGCGAAATTTCTAACTTATGAAAAAGAATAAGGAATTCGATTTTGTAATTTTACTTTAGATTTGTGTTATACATATCTAAAATATTCCATAATCCTAGCAAAATCACTGTTCCTCAAGTTATGCGTGATTTCTTCTTAGATTAATTCGAAAAATGTCATCCATATTTCATTAGAAAATATTAAATATTTCTAGTGAAACAATTTTCGAGCTCAAAGGGTTAAACAACATCGAAACAAGGAGTTCTTTCGTTTAGCCTTTCCGTTTAGGCGTATTTTAATACTATAACATCCGCACCCGTCGAAATAACGGTTTCAATTTCATTTCGCAATTATTAATATCTTAATAGCATTAAATATCCGACACGATTTGAAAAATAAACAGTTCAGCTTCAATACTGTAATCAATATATATAGAAACCGAGAAAAATTTATTCTTAGAATTTTTAGAATGATCAGTATAAACACTACCAACTATTTTCGAATTCAAATTAAACATTATTCTTCTCTTATCAATAATTACACTTTACAGCAAACAGACATAGAATATGCCTAGAATTTTTCTCTTCATTCAATAAATTATCAATGGCAAAGTAGTTGTACCGCTCATAGATGAAAAGTAAATCATAGGGCAAGGGGTTAAACACACCAAATGCTCGGTAGTTCTAAAGTTATCTTCTCGCGCTGAAAAGACGTGCTGGAAAAAGATATACAAAAATTTTTCATACGTAGTCATCGGCTATAGTCGAGGTATAAGCAATCACGTTATCATAGATTTCAGCCGTGGCCCAACGAGTTCGTTGCTCGCAGCTCAACTGTTTACCATTGTTTTTTATGAGGCTGAAAGACAACGGACCTACAAATTTAACCGCCACGCCATGTGGTTTTTTCAGAAGACAACGGCCTTCCGACCTCATTCGCGCGAGCCTACAATGTTCTTGTATACCGTGTGTTACCTTTTTTTAGGGCAGGACTTGAAAAACCCTCGCCTTCCAAGTTCACTGACCCCGCTTGCGTAACCGTTCCTACAATCACAAATGCAGTCAGTTTTTTAAATAAAAATTCTGTGCTTCATTTGGAATGAACTCTTCGCACTCCTACGACGAGTCGACATCAGATTCAAACCTATGCTTCTTTTTGGAGACATTTTTCAATTACATCATTGTTTCACTAACACTAAACATACCATGACCAGTTAAACGTCCGATTTTATAATTTGATTTAATATTCATATGAAATAACTGTGCATCAATTCCTATATCGATTGATCAGCTTTTCAATCTTTGCCTTTCCTTCTGTTTTCACTAAAGAAAATGTATCGTCTAACTCGCTCATATTTATTTTCTTACCACCAATCCGACTGGTTACGGTATTATTAAGTATGTACACAGTACGTTTAGTAATAAATTAAATGCGAAACAAATTGTATTACACAATTTTCCATAGTATTGGCACAAAGAATTACCTACACTATTTCCTACCAACTAACCGTCTCTCGAAATACAGTTCGAACGAAGCACTTAAAACAATAAAAAATCGTCGCAAAGAGAATGTAGAAGGAACTCGTAGTGCTAAGGGTTAGCAATTCCCGGTTCGCGTGCAGGGGCCGAAACAGGTGCGAGTAGCGGCGGGAGCGTCGCGTTCGCACTGGCTCGGAGCACGACCGGGAGATTCATGTCAGGCAAACGATGCACGAAGAACGATAACTTTCGGGTATGATCGAATCGATAACCAACGGTAACGGCCATCTTATAAGCGCGCGGAGCTAGAGAAAGAGGGATGGATGGAGATACGCCAGATGAAAAGTTTCCTCGTTCCCGAAATCGCTCGAGTGAACACTCATCGAAGTACCGATTGGCTCTGGCAAGCTCTCCAGCGATCCATTTCCCGGCGAACAACTGCCCTCCTCGCCTGGAACCGCCCAACATCCCCGAAACCGTTTTCAACAACCGGTAATATCCAGAGGGTGCCGCGCAGGCTGGTCCGTAAGGAGCACGTCAGAGGAATGCGGTCCTATCTCGAAATGAATTACGTATCGCGAGCATCGGGCCGGCCCTGTCCCGCGTCGATTCTGCATAATTTTGCGGTGAACTGGGATTGTGCGGCGCTGTTGGGTCTCGGTTGGTAAAAGATTCATGCGTGTGTATATGACGTTATTGAGAAGGCAAGATGCACGTTGATTACGATTAGCAGGATTCTGAGATTCGAAGTTTTTAAACGGGTCGCGATATTCCTGAATTCTATGTCAGATGTTGAAAAGATAATAAATGCTTCACTAGGAAATTAGCGATGAAATTTATTTAACGTGGAAATTGAATTATAAGTCAATGGAGCCATAATATACGTGCTCTTAGAGTTTCTATAGGAAAATTTAGAAAAGTTAATTCGACTGCTCGGTGATTCTATCGTTAACAGAGACTGAAAGATTGAAAATATACTTTCATTTCCATAATCTCCTAATTCAATTCCTTAACTTAACTGTTTCACCCTTAACTGTACAGAACAAGGACTATAGACTACAGCAGAAAAAAGAAACTCGTTTCTTATCGTACAAAGACTGAAGTTTATCATTCAGAATTATTAGAATTATACATACAGATCAGGTGAATACTATTTAAGTTTAAACCTTCTTAAGGATTTACACAAAAAGGCTTCGACAGAAGTACCTATTTAAGGGAAATTATGAATAAGTACAATTACACCGTTAATCTGCTCATGTCTCGCTTGTTATATTACGAACACACACGCGGTGTTATAGATGAAGCGAAATAAATGACGATCGCTGGATCAGACGATTTCGTAGCTAACGTCGCATCACATTCAACAAGGTGAATAATGCAAATAGAAATTCACCTCAGCATAAGAGTATCCGCATATCCGGAGCCAATCTTCGTCAAACATTCACGCGGCTTCGATTTTTTCAAAAATATTCGCCGGTCACCTTCGAGCTTAACACTCTCGCTCGTAAAAACGCTCACGATCGTGATTATCACGGTTGCAGAGGTTGGCAGGCCACGATCACCAGGGGGACCGGGCCAAACGCCAAACAGAAGACGCTGCAACGGTTAATTTATCGTGCCGATTGACCTCGTTCCCGGTCATCCGCCATCCCGATCAGCCTCCGAGCGGCTTCTTGTACGGGGAGCCGATTCGGCCGAACCAGTTTCCACCTATCCGCAGTATCTCCTCCCTCTCCCCTTCTCGTGCCATCTTCTCGGTCACGAGAACACAGGCCTCGAAGCTGGCCTTATTAAAACACAACCAGCCGTATATCACCTGTCCAGGTCGATCCTCGATGTCCAGGGTCGAGAGTGCACTGCTAGGTTTCTCGATAGAACACGGTATTTCTGGATTCTTCGGATCCTTCGATTTTATTACCTACTACCTTTAACCTCTCGCTGTCGAATGAGACTCGCGAAGATTCCAGAAGTAACGTGACACGTGTCGATGATGCTGGAATAATACATTTTTGCCCATCCGAAACGTGAAACTTTCGGAATTATTGAAATCGCCAGTAAGTGAATCCATTTGGAACTACTGGGGAATTTTTTGTATCTACTAAAGGAATTCAACGAAGTACGTATCGGTATATAAAAGTTGATGGTCTACGTTGTATGTAGATCAAAGTGAAAGACGATTCCCTGTTTTCAATGTTCTGGCTCCTAACATACATTTACGAGGAAAGGAAAATCTCTTTGAGTTTCTAAGAACTTAGTAGTGGTAGAAGTAGATAGTAAAGCTTTGTTGCAAAGTGAATAGTACGGCAAAGCTAAACGTGATTTATTATATGTATTATTTCAAAATGACACAGTCGCAAAAGGGTTAGCAAAAGATCCTTCGTCATCTGTTTTGTTCACGCTATTGGCTGATTTAACATCAATACTAAAAATGTCTGTACATTAACATCTTTTCCCGCTCAAACCGCTTACACCAGTATTATTTTCAGTGCCTCCGCCCTATCAGTAATAAATTCTGACAATAATACGCCACAGCTAGGGTCAGCCCGTGTATCATCAAACATCCGCGACGTTGAGCTTGTTCCTATCGATCCGACCGGGCAGTTATCGAGGACTCGAAAACTGTTCTCGTCCGCGGCATACCTGGCCGCGCGCCCTGTCAACCGGAATTTAAGCGTCGAATTTCGAAGGGATCAGTCCGTCCGGCCACGGCGGGGCCAAATCCGGGGAAGGGAGATCTGTTTGCCGTCGATTTATCCCGGTGTACGGTTAATACGTAGAATAAACGAGAAGAGTTAGAGGGTGAGCCGTCATCGACTCGTTTCGTAGACCGTTTAACCCCTTTAAAGATACATTTCCGTGGCGCAGAACGTGGCTAACGAACTTCAATTCAAATATTAATCCGACTTTCATCCCCGTTACATAAAGATTATCGAAATAACCTTATTACTTTATTATTTGCTTATTGGTTTCCTTATGCGTAGCAAAGATGATTTACAGTCTTCAATTCAGATAGATAGATATGATTCGAATTGTTAATATTGTTGTTTTGTTAAGCATTGTCGATTTTTCAAATGAAAACCGTTGTAAAGTAGACACTTCGAGGAACAGATGATGATTCTATAGCAATGATTCTTTATTTTCTATAATTTGGTTGTGAAAGATCCTCGATTATTAATTCTACTAGTAAATGCTATTAGTAATAATAAATAGATACTAACAGCAGATACAACAAATACTATTAGTAATAATAAATAGAAACAAATAGTAGATACAACAAATACTATTAGTAATAATAAATAGAAACAAATAGTAGATACAACAAATACTATTAGTAAAAACTAGTAAATTCTGTTAGTAATACCAAATAGACAGTAGCAGTAGATACAATAAACACTACTAGTAATAACTAGTAATAACTAGTAAACACTACCAGCAAATACTAATAAACATCACCAGAAATAGCTAGTAAATACAGTAAATACCAGCATAATAATCATTAATAATTCACAGATGCGTTAACCCGCCATGTTCGCACATGTTGCAGCCGATGGGTTAACACCAGCTTCCGCAGTGATCATCCGCTTCCGCCCCCTAGTTTTCCAACGCGACCACGTGACAAGTCGTACCGGTTGCCCGTTTGATTCCGCGATCCGGCATTCCACCCCCGTCAACCTATGCAGCCAATAACATTCCATCGAAACATGGGCGTCCACGGAAGCCAGGCATGATCCTGCCAGGAGATGTTTATCGATCCCTCCGGAGAACATCTCCCCGGGGGCCGAATCCTCCTGCCGTGTACGGAACAATTGAAGAATCCTCTATGTTCGTCAAGAATTTAATTATTGCGGAGGGCTCTCGGATAAGGTCGACGGCCGTTGGTCTATCTCGCGCAACGGCCCCGAGCGGAAATCCCTTCGGGCTGGCCATCGCTCCGGAAAATAGTGTTTTAAAGGAATTTCCGCGGGCTGATAAGAAGACGGTTGAGCAGGGACGCGAGAAACACGACCGCAGGCTGACTGACGGCTGGGTGCGTTGCTGGCATTAACTAGGTGCCATTCATAACCGCTGAAAGTGTTCAGGAACGGAAGGATTACTCCTGACAAAGAAAAGAGAGATAGCTGGCTGATACATTTGAATGGGAGGTGGACGCCTACGTTCATGGCTGTACGAGAATATTTTTCGAGATGAAACTCTTATAGGATGTGCCTATTGGCGAGGGAAGGTGTTCTGTTCAGGTGGTTTCGATGAATAGATGCGCCTCGTGGAACGAACGCTGTTTTCAGTAATCTAGTGGAGTTCAAATTAATCTCTTTCGTTAAGAGCTTGAATAAAATGAAAATGAGGTAATTGGATTTTTGAAGTTTTCAAACATTTTTCTATATCCTGTACACTTGTGTCTATCATAAATGCGTTAAATCGAGTGTTTGTTGTCAAGTCCTTCAAGATTATTAATGTCCTGATTATTTGTCGAATATTTTGCTGCGTAAACGTACATTTTACTATTTAAACGCTAATTTTGCTGTGTTTTACCGTACTTAAGGGATGCGAGTTAGGATTTACTGTCGAAAACACGCGCTGCGTTTCTCCGCTGAATTTTATAGGGTCCTTTAGGAGATGTACAACTGAATATTCGGGAACGGGTATGGCTTCAATATGACGGGTGTCCTGTTCATATACCGGGGTTGCAAGTGTAACACCGGATAATACATTTCCCCGCGGCCATTTCGCACGTGAGGAAACTGTAGATTGGACGCAACCTGCTCCTGGCTTTTAGCTCCATCTACGAGCCCGCCGACTTCTGTGTATGAAGGAAACTAAGAAGCATGGTTTACCATAATAAACCTACAACGCTGCAATACACGGAGCGACGAATTACGAACGCCATTTATCACGAAACTTCGCGATTGCATGGACGCGAACGAGCATTCCGAACGCACGCATAAATTAACAATTAAATTAAACCGACACATAAATCGGTCTGAATTAAAATTCAAATTTATCATCTCACCCGTGGCAAAAGTATGAGAATCAATTACACAAATACTGTTCCATCAGCACTAAATCACCAATCAGTCAAATCGAGTGTTCCCAACATTAATACAAACTTCAAGAGTATTCTTACTTAAAATTCAACTGACTTATGTTTTACCTTACGTGTTACTAAATCACCTTACCCAATGATTCCCCAGTTAACTATCTATATTTTCCCAATAATTCTAAAACAACGAATCCAAAATGCTTCTATTTCACCCATCCGAAGATCTACAAAAATTCGCTGACCCCGCTGTTCCATTTAAACAGGACAACTCAAGGAAAACTCGGCGCGATCGATGCTCCACTGTAAAACGAAACCTTTCGCGATGTTTGCCGGGCGACCGTAAATAAAGAGGGCGATCCAGTGGTCCCGTTGAACGCGTGCCACCCAGTAGACACGGATTTCGCTGACGTAGCGTCCCGTTCCCCAGCAATTAATTTAAAAGAGTGGCGAAACCCGAGCCGCGTATCCCCGCGTCTCGGACCGCAACCGGCTGCGATGTTTATTAATTTAACGAATCAATTTATCTAATTAACCGGTGCACCGCGTCGCTGTTATTGCGGATTTGTTCGGACGTGGCGCGCATCGATCAAACAGATTTTTCTGATCGGCGCAATTGCTGGCGCGTATTTAAGCGTGCGTTCGGCGAGCGTCGTTCAACCCTTTCGGCGGCCGTGTGCGTCACTACCACCGATGTCATCGTTCCAACCGTACAAAAGTATCAAACATTGCCGGTCTGTATCATATCGAATAGAATTTCGCAATTATTCCGTTCGCGCGGCGGCGTTCATTATAATTTAATCACCGGCGATAGTGGACGGGGCAAACGCGCCCGCCGGAATAACGAGTATCGAATCGCGTGGGAGGGACTGCAAGACGGACAAAGATATTCCGAATGCGAGCGAGAAGGACGTGGAGATCTATTCGCAGGGAATTATCCGCGTGAAATATTACGTTGGTCGGAAAATTTTGTTGCACTGGATCACTCTGAGTAGTTTTATGTTTTCTTGTGGTAAGCGTAAAACTTCTAGCGTAAGAAATTAATGATTGCATCTATGTTTAATTGTCGACGTATTTATTATACTTATGTACAACTTCTACCCATTTCCCGGTGGATTTTTTAATATGAACGCGGCACGATTTCACGCAGAAAAATACACAAAATGGAAACCATGTAGTATCGAACTATTTAATTGCATCGCATTGCTATCATTGCACGTTCATCTTGACGTTCGTATTAGAGTAATTTTCGAAATCGTGTATAAGAAACGGCATTACTTGTTTAATGGTTTCGATGTGGCGTTGTTATTGGTAACGTAATAATAGATATTGCTAACAAGCGAAGTAAAAAGCGATAGAAACTTTCCCAAGGAAAAGTGGAACGGTTCAATGTAGTTTAATTTAACGTAGCGATATTTTTCTTTAAACTTCATTTAGAAATGCGACGAGACTTTTCGACCAAGCCAATATATTTCGACGGAGGGCGAGGGTGGGATCCACGGCTCGCGGATGCTTTCCCCGGGATAATTTCGTCGGAAGCTGAGAAACGGTCGCGGGAACGGAAATGGGACCGATGCGTGATAGCGAGCTGGTGATCTATCAATTATTACGCAAACCCGGGGTTCGCGGCACGCGAGAAATTAATGCCGCTCGATCAATCGCGGATGCCAGCGCGGAAAAACGCGTTTGGGTCGTCGAGTTTCAGATTTCGGTGGGATATTTCGTCGATCCAGGCAACCAGAAGTTCATTTTAACAATGTTCAGTTTAACTATGAAATTTTTGTTGTACGAGATAGTTGAATGTGCGAGGTATGATGCATTAATAATTTGTTTAATCCTGTTGCATTCGTAAAATACATGTTTTGTTGAAAATTAGGAATTTCTGTGTTACACTTTTTACTCTTATTATTAATTCGCATAAATATTTATTTTTCCTATTATATACGACATTATAAGTAGTTATTAAATATTCCACTAATAATAGCACACTTTTACCACTAGTAAATTACTAATCATTTGTATTTTTAAACTGCACTCAAGTGCAGTGCTTCATTCAAAGTTAAAAATACTTCTGCTACACTTTACTTCGTTACTAATTACTACAAACATTGCCTACATGTATCACAGTAAGTGGTCACTGAATATTTAACTAATAATAGTACACTCTTACTAACAATATACTATTTATAATTTTGTATATTCTTACTGCACTCAAATGCAGTGCTTCAATCGAAGTTAAGAATTCCTCTGCTACACCTTTCGCTCTTGAAACTTCTCCTGAAACAATTTTTACAAGTTCAAAGGAAGTTGCGTGAATATTTCCCAGAAAGCATCTCGCTCGAAGAGCCCGGCTTCATTAAAATAACTTTCGGATCATCGATCGGTTTGAAACGAACGATTCGCCGACCGCCCACGGATCAAAATGCACCCTGAAAATAATGAACCGAGCACCGTGTAGCGAAACGGAGCTCGATTAAAACGGAAGTGGATTAAAACCGTTCACCCAGCGGGGACGGGACGGGAACAACGTTTTGACTCGTTCTCGTCCGATGCGTTCGTTTAAATAAATGATCGCGCGTTGATCTGTTGCGTGCACGGACCGTTCCCGAGGAATCCGAGAATCGCCGGAACGAATTGCAATTTGCACGCACTGGTCAGAAACAGGGAGTTCGAGAATGTTTCTCGCTTCGAATAATCACCGAAGCAATCTGATGTTCGGACGTGATCGAACTGCTAGAAAATGTCGCGGAACAATACGGGACACTCATCGGTACGTGCGAATGAAACGGAATTTGCACGAGAACCGTTTAAATTTCAAATTATACATACATGCGGCAACTTCACCTGCGAAATACAATTCTTCCAGAACACCTGCGTTCGTTCGAATAACGGAGGATCTCGTCCGGACTAGTTTCTTTCGAAAACGGGGCTTCGAATCGAATAAATGTTATTCAACGTTCCGGCATTTTTAGCTGAGAACATTCTACGTTATCCGATATACTGGTATATACACATATTTTATACATACACCGTTCATTTCCTATGGTATCTGTCCCCTATTTCACCAATATTTCCGCGAATACCTTGGAATCGTATTCCATCGACATTTCGAGATTCGAATGCCTAAAATTTAAATTCTTCAGATATCGATTCGATAGCTACCAGATATAGACATTAAAGTTAATGCTTGGCCCCGTGGTTTTCTTAGCGACTAACTGAAAATTCGTCCAGCTATTTTTAGTAGTTACATCATTAGTTGATAATGAGTATTAATACCATAGTTGTGTTATGTATCAGGTACCGGAAAAAGTTGGCAGATTTTTTTGTTGGCAATGCATTGAGGTACGATTTTAATCAGTATTTAACTTGTTTAATCTAGGAAATTGGTATTAGCAGAAAGTTAGGTTTATGCCGTTGGAACAAGCCACATAAAATGAGTTTACGAAAACGTTCAGTTTAAACTTTTATTCAAGTTCCCACATAAACGTTTCACGTTTAACTTGTGTAATAAGCTTTAGTTTAACTTGTCTAATAAGTAACTAACTTTGTAAACATTATCTGTAGTATTAAGTGCGGTTCCCATGTGTAGAGCGACCAGATTCTTTCAATGTTTGAGCTTTAGATTTTTATAAATGACCCTATATTTTTGTCATCCCTTTTTTTGTACGTTTAGGTGTATTGTACCATTTTTGTAAATATTATTTATCGACACAATAAACATATTGTTACAAGGAAAAATATTTTCTATATTCATACACGTTCAGTAAATTACTTGCGAGCTCGAATGTGTTAAAACTCTGAATAACAGAAATCACGGAAAATCTAGATCCTGCGCGGTGTATATGGAAACTAACAAACACACTGAATCAATCTCAGCAATAAAACGCGGCAGCGTCCTACGAGTTTCCGTGAAAGCTGCTTTCACAGGGAAAAAGGCGCGGCGAAGGGTAGTTTCCTCCCCCGTGACGGTGTTCGCGCTCTTAACCATTTAAGGTTTCCTACTCAGATTCTCCGCTGCGTCGGTAGCACGGAAAATATTTGCTTATCTTATTCAGCGTCTCCTCCGCGCGTCATCCATTCGAAAATCGCGTCTTGAAGATTCTCCCGCACCGCGTCTTGCTAATTCCATCGGACGGGTTCGCGCGAACACACATCTCTCTCGTTAATCCCGTCCTCCGGCATCAGGGAAACGAAGAACCGTATCTCTTCTTTCGTTCTCGCTCCGTGGTAGCTTTTATTCGGTTGAAAGTTCCGTTCTCCGGGCTCATCTGCGCGAGGCGAAACAGTCCAGCGGTGGAAAACAAGACGGTGAACGGTGAGGACGACTGGAAACTATTGAAAGTTCGATGGTTGCGCTATCTTTTGAATGCGAAGTGATATGCTTGGCATTGACAGCGGTATAACTCGACAAATTTGGAAATTTGTTTGCATGTTTGAGAATTTGTGAGTTTGAAAATTTAGAAGTTTAGAAATTTGCATATCCGAAACTCTGAGAATCTTAAAACTTGAGAATTTGAATGCTTAACATTTTGAAAACCTGCTAATTTGAAAATCTGATCATTCGGAAACTTCAGAATTTAAGGACTTAAAGACTTGAGGACTTGGCAACTTAAAATTTGGCAATCTGGTAATTTGAAAATCTAAAATTTGATTTCCTTTTTGCCTCGTGCCATCGTCAATGCGAAGTTATCCGCTCGTTTGCCTTTCTAGAGTTTCCGCGCCGCTAAGCTCGTCGAATCGACGCACGAACGAATCACGCGCAATTCTCTAATCCATTTGGCGAATTTTTGCAAATATTTGCTGCGCGCAAGTTTACGGCGCTTCCTTTCGCGTGCACGCCTCCTCACACGCGTCGTTGATTCTACGCGGGGAACTTTGCAAAAGGGAGACTTCGCGGAGGTAAAAACGCAAAGGTTCTGCTGGGAGCGAACGTGAAACGTTGTTCTCGACATATGTGTAACGTCTGTCGTACATGTCAGAGCAACCAAAGGTTGCTTCACGAGTATAAATCAACTGTGTCCCGATATCTGTGAATAGTAACAACTGGATCAGTTTTTACCGACGAACTTTCAGGGAGATTATCGGATACATTTGTGCTCCGCGGTCTCCAATTATTGGATCTGACTGTCACACTATTCCGTGGTGAATTAATAAAACTGTCACAATTCCGAGGATCGTGAATAGAACACGAGCTCAACTTTGATATGTTTTTTAGGAGAAGCTAATGGAATTTGTAAAATGGAATACAGAAATTGGTGGACTAATAATTAATGAAATAAATTACTATTAGTAACAGTAGCAGTAATAGCATAGAAAGTAGTTTTAATAATCAGTAAACGTAATTACTAAAAGGAAATAGTATTGGTAAATACTAGTAACAGAAATACAACAAAAATTAGTGTCAATAATTAGCAAAATTAATTACTAAAAGAACTTAATATTAGTATCAGTAATTCTAAAAGTATATAAATTAGTATTCACAGTTAGTAAAAGTAATTGCTAAAAGAAATTAGTATTAGTAATAATAATACAGAAACAATCAACACTAATTCACATTTCTTTCAGCAAAATCCAAACTTTAATTCTAATTCTAACACTTTCCTGAAACTCACATCATCTCTCCAAGATTTGCTAATTCAGCGACCTGGTATAAACTTCCCGGTT